CGTTTTAGCCGAGTGGCTAGGCAATTTTTAAATCAACACTTTGCAAATAAATGGATTGGTCGTGGAGGTCCTATTGCATGGACTGCTCGTTCTCCGGATTTGAATCCATTAGATTTTCATTTGTGGGGACATTTAAAATCTATTGTACACGCAACATCGACTGAAAATGCTGAAATACTACGAAATAGAATAGAGCAAGGCTTCCGACAAATTCGAGAAACACCAGGAACGATAGAGAGAGTAACCAGATGAATGACAAGACGCGTGCAGGGTTGTCTTCAAATGCAAGGTGGTCATTTCGAGCATCTTTTGTAAAAGTAATTAAAACAGAAAATTCATTATATGTCATAAACGAAGACAGATAGGACGTATATTTATAAGACTTTTTTTCAGCTCCCGAAGTGGGTCCCACAAGTTATGAAACACTCTGTATAACACTCTGTATAAGCAAAAAAAAAAAAAAATGAAAATTAGTAAATTTGTTAGTTCTTGGTAATTTTAAAACGGAAAGCGACAGTGAACTTCGAAATTGAAAACGACGAATCACTTTATGGTTTGATAGTTTGATCACGCGTATCCGTGAACCAGATGCCGCAACGGGTTAATTATTTAAGTGCGTCTAGTCAAAGCGTCACGTATGTAGGTATGTATCTCGGTTATTCGAAATAAAATTGCGCAAATCGATGGATTATCATTGGAAACGAGGTCCACTGTTTTTTATTATGCTCCTGCAAATTTAAATTAATTGAGCAACACGCGTGTACGTGTGTGTGTATGTGTGTGTGTATATACATTATATATTAATTATACACGGCAGTTGTATGTGCAATTATACGCTTCTTTTCATTCCTTGTCCTCGATAAATTACCGTTTTACCACTCTCTGCGAGTGCTGACCACCCTTTCTCTTCGATTATTCACAAGATCAATAACAAGCCGAAGAGGTAAACATCGAGACGCTGGATATGCAGTTTATGAAAAGTAATTCTCATCCAACTCTCTTCGCGCGACCGATTGTAAATGAATTTTCGAAAATAAACTGTAAATAAATAACTTCTGCAATAAAATAACTATAATCGTAAATAAATTGTTAAATTTAAACGTGTTTATGTTCGTCGCACGGGATCGCAAAGGCAACAGCATCACTGCATTTCCTCCCTCCCCTCCCCCTTCTCCCGACGAAAAAGAAAAGAAGAAAAAAAAAAAAAAAACAATTGACTCGAAATAATAATTTATCGTCCCGACTTTATTTACTGCGAAGTCGCGGTACAAGTTAATTAATGCCGGTTTTCATTGGTGCCGCGTTTCAGAGTTCTACGAGTTGTTATTTTCAGAGCAAATCAAGCGCGGGCAAACCAGTCCAGACTTCGAATCGAGCCGGAGGGAATCACTGTGGAAATTTATTGAAGACGCGGCGTAGCGAGAAATGACAAATTCGTGGATCGGAATTTTTTCCAGTTTTCGGAGAAAGTCGAGTTTGTCAACAGTACGTTTGAATTCAGGTTGATTTTTCTGGACTGGCGCGAATAATCGAACCCTATGCGGGAAAACAGGTAACAGGCGTGGAACAAAAATGAAAATGAGGCTTCGAACGCGTTTCGCTGAAAATCGCCGTGAATCTTCAAACTCGATTCTCTCGAGAAACAAATTGCATTTCGTGAAAAGGGAACTTTATTAACCTCCTGTTAATCACTCTTTTCTCGTTTAGAATTAAAAGTGTAAGACTCGATCGTAGCCAAGAACGAACCTTTTTATGATAAATATTTCATTCCTGCTTTTTCGTTCTTTCTTTCGCTTCTTGTTCGGTTGTACCATTAATACTGGAACACCCTGTATAATCCGTTCGATTGACGCGCGGAATGAATTATAAATCCTTGCGACAGCAAGCGACACTGTGTGCTCTTTCATATATCTATTCCCCGATCCGGTTTCGTTTTAATACCAATAGCACTTTGAACAAAATATCAACGAGGCTCATATACATCTAATAATTCCCTGTCGCACTTAACAACGTCGTTGATAGCACGAGTGTTCGCAGAGGTAACGAACAAACAGAGCAATCGCGACCAAAAGGACCGAATTCCATTAATCGATCGATGAAATTAATCGTCGCGTTTAAACACCAAAATTAACATGTTTGTTTCCTTCTTCTTCTTTTTTCAATCCCTATTTTCGTCTTACAATCTTTCTGGCGAATCGATGTTCCGATATTTTAATAGTTGTTCCCTTTAAAGAAAATCAACGCTAATTGCACAAATAAAATTATGAGTACGCGTCGGCATTTTCAACGGGTTTCGCAAGAATCTCTCGTACAGGTAACACGTGTCGTTCGAGAGTTGATTTTCCGACTCCGTGATCGGCATGCAGGAAGTCTATTTGCGCATCCCTGGACTGGATATGTAAATTTCCAGTTTCCCCACTGTACTTGCATCAAAGTATTTCTTTCAGCGTATAATTATGACGATAATGCCACTTAATCACGCGCGCGATAATTTGTTCCAACAGAGATCAGAAAATACGACTTTGTTCAACCGAAGGAAAGACCTCGGTGTATTCGAATGAGCTGGCAACTGATTGCGGACCATAACGAGTGACCAACACCGTATACAACAATTCGTCGCTTTCTTTTCCTTTTGAACTCATCGGCACGATAGAAATTATTGAGAAATGATAAATTTATCATCTGTTTTGCCTGTGTTATACTGTGTTATACTTCAATATACTTAAAACTGCGGAAATGTTGCAATTTTGGGACAAAAAAAATTCTCGACGTGCGTAGCAAGAGGTTAAAGGTAGAAACCTAACCTAAATCTGACTTAAATCTTCTTCATATTCTACACTTGCACGTTTGGATAATAAAAAATAGTGTTGGATGACCAACCTGGACAATATTGAATTTATGCAAATACTGACAATGAGTTAGCAACAGTCCATACAAAAGTGGACTGTGAATAGTTAGTCGTAAGGGCAAGATTCAATAGTTGGTCATCTATGCTCCTTCCCCTTCCACTTCAAATATATATAAGGACATGCTTTGGAGACATTCGATGGCATAAAACATTCTAAATCATTATAAAGACATTCTATATCATTAAGAGCATTAAACATTCTAAATCATTCTACATCATATTCAAGAGCATAAAACATTCTAAATCACTATAGAGACATTCTATATCATTAAAAGCATCAAACATTGTAAATCATTCTGTGTCATATTCAAGAGCATTAAACATTGTAAATCATTCTATTTCACACGGCTGTAAGGGAATAAATTCTTCTAAATTGTAAATGTGTTGATTCCATTATTACACGGAATCCAACAATAGTAGACAAGGACAACAAAGAAGTTGATTAATTATAATTTTGTATATAACTCAAGTTCTTTGATATAAATTGTAGATAAGACAGTATTAAGAATTTTGTTGAAATAAATTGTATTTAGGATAAACAGAATTCTTTGCTTCCCAACAAAAATCAGAAACTAATGCAAATTCTTTTATTTGAACAATTAAAGACTCACAAACATAACTTAAATTTTCTTCATACTCATTCTACTTTTGGTCATCTGGACAACAAGAAATAGTAGATAAAACTAACAGAAGGTCGATCAATTATGACCCAACATTAATCTTGTTAAGTTCCAATTTTTTTCTATTTTCTGTCCAATTGTTGAAAATCGTGCTTAAGATAAACCGAATTCTTTATTTCCCAACAAAGATCAATAATTGTTAGATAATACAATTTCGTTTATCTGGGGACAAGACTTTGGAGTGTTTGGGTAATTAAAGATTAACCTAAGTCTGACCTAAACCTTCTCCATATCTTATTCTTGCCCGTTTGGATAATGAAAAACAGTAGCTAAAGGCAAGTACTTGCCTAACAGATTAACTAACAGACAAGTTGATCAATTATTAATTTTCGTATATCTGAGAGCCAAAATCAACTTCGTCCTACATTTATTCCGGTCTAATTATTGCAAATCGTGTTTAAGATAAATAATAATTCCTTGAACATGTTCAAGCATCGAAATTATTAAATTATTAAATCATTCCATTATTAGAGTATTAACTAATTATCACTGAAATGTCCCACGAACGCATCGATTATGCCTCGCTTGTGTTTTCTTTGGAAGAAATTCGAAACACCGTGGTACACGACAGTTAAACTACAATCTACATAATTGTCGAACCAGTCGATCGTCCCCTCTCGTGGCAAGGCAAACATTGAAAGTGAAACCGTTCCCCCGTTCAAGGAAAGGGGGCGTTCTCTGCGGCGCGTTGGACGACACAGTTCGTCGACAAAGCGTCTTGGTGGTGGTGGTGGTGGCCGAATCTGAAGTTTTATTTCCTCGTTTGTAACGTAACGAGATTTCGAGAGAGACACGCGAAAGAGCCCGGGCCGCTAATTGGATTACGCTGTTTAACCAGCGCTGCATTTTGTTGAAAGTCACTTGTTAGAATTTCAAATGGCTCGCCTATTGTTTCCAGGACGAGGAGACGTTGGCATCGAGACGTACAGTCGCGGCCAGACTACGTCGCGTCTACCGACGTGCTTCATGAATTCGTGCCTCCTTCGGCACCATGCATTATTCATAGGCGCCATGAGTTATCGAATCCTCGGCGACCACGAGGGCCACGGGACAAGTCCCAGCCCCCTCCCACCCCCTTCTCGGTCGGTCTCTCA